GTCAGATGCATAGTTGGCAAAAATTTTCTCTCACTCTGTAGGTTGTCTTTTCACTCTATTGATTGTTTCTTTCGCTGTGCAGAAACTTTTTAGTTTGATATAGTCCCATTTGTTTATTTTATCTTTTACTGCTTGTGCTTTTGGTCTCATGTTCATAAAGCCTTTCCCCTGACCTAACAGCTGAAGTTTTTCACCTATATTTTCCCTTAGTAATTTTACAGTGTTAGGTCTTATACCTAGGTCTTTAATCCATTTTGAGTTGATTTTAGTGTACAGTGAGAGATGCATATCTAGATTCATTCTTCTGCATATGGATATCCAGTTTTCCCAGCACCACTTGTTGAAGAGGCAATCTTTTTCCCAATGTAGATTTTTGTTGCCTTTGTCTAATATCAGGTGGCTATAAGCCTGAGGAGTGATTTCTGGGTTCTCTATTCTACTCCACTGGTCTGAATGTCTATTTTGCTTTTGGGGTTACAACAGCTGTGTAGTATAATTTGAAGTCAGGCAGAGTTATGCCTCTGGCTTTGTTATTTTTGCACAGGATTGCTTTGGCTATTCGGGGTCTTTTGTTTTTCCATATGAAAGGTAAGCTTGTTTTTTCCATTTCTGCATAGAAAGTCATTGATATTTTGATGGGGATTGCACTGAATCTGTAGATGGCTTTGTGTATTATAGACATTTTCACAATGTTAATTCTTCCAATCCAAGAGCATGGAATATCTTTCCATCTTGTTGTGTCTTCTTTAATTTCTTTCAGAAGTGGTTTGTAATTCTCATTGTAGAGGTCTTTCACCTCCTTGGCTAAATTGATCCCTAGGCATTGTATTTTTTTGGTCACAATTGTAAATGGGCTTACTTTATTTCTCTTTCTGTTAATTCATTATTTGAGTACATAAATGCTACTGATTTGGGGCATTTATTTTGTATCCTGCAATGTTACTGAAGTCATTAACCAGCTCTAAGAGTTTTTTGATAGATTCCTTAGGTTTTTCTATATATAATATCATATCATCTGCAAATAGGGAAAGTTTGACTTCCTCTTTTGCAATCCAGATTCCTTTATTTCTTTCTCTTGCCTGATTGCTCTAGCTAGTACCTCCAGTACTATGTTGAATAGAAGCGGTGAGAGTGGACATCCTTGTCTTGTTCTTGTCCTTAAGGGGAAGACCTTAATTTTTCCCCATTCAGAATAATACTGGTGGTGGGTTTGTCATAAATGGCTCTCTCCTTTATTTTGTTAATCTAGCTAATGGTGTGTCTATTTTGCTTATCTTCTCAAAAAACCAACTTTCAGTTTTGTTGATCTTTCTATTGTTTTATGGGGTCTCTATTTCATTTAGTTCTGCTCTGATCTTAATTATTTCTTCCAATCTATTTCCTTTTGGTTGGATTGTTGTTGTTTTTCAAGTTCTTGAGGCGTACTGTTTGGTTGTTTTTCTGAAGTCTGTCCATTTTTTTAATCTAAGTATTTACTACAATAATTTTGCCTCTTAGTACTGCTTTTGTAGTATCCCACAAGTTTTGGTATGATTTATCTTTATTTTCATTAGTTTCTAGAAATTTTTTGATTTCCTATTTAATGGACCAATAGGTCGTTCAGGAGCCCATTATTTATTTTCCATGTATTTGTATAGCTTCCAGCAATTTGCTTATTGTTTATCTCCAGTTTTAGTACATTATGGTCTGAAAAGACTGTTGGAATGATTTCATTTTTAAAAAATTTGCTGAGAGTAGATTTGTGACCTAATATGTGGTCTATCCTGAAGAATGTACCATGAGCTGATGAGAAGAAAGTGTATTCTTTAGCTGTTGGGTGAAATGTTCTGTATATAGCTGCCAAGTCCAATTGGTCTAGGGTGTAGATTAAATCCTGTGTCTCTTTGTTGGAAGTACTGTCCCATACTGAGAGGGTGGTGTTCAGATCACCAACTATTAATGTATTAGGTCCTATCTCCTTCTTTAGGTCTTAGAGTGTTTGCTTGATATATATGAGTCATCCAGTATTGGGTACATACATGTTTATGATTGTTATGTCTTCTAGCTGGATAGTTCTATTTATCATTATATAATGGCCTTCTTTATCTTCTTAAATGTTTTTTGGTTTAAAGTCTTTTTTGTCTGATATAAGAATATCTACTCCTACTTGTTTTGGGTTTCCATTTCATGGTATATCTTTTTCCATCCCTTCACTTTTAGTATATGAATATCTTTAAAGGTGAGGTGGGTCTCTTGAAGACAGCATATACTTGGGTTAGTTTTTTGATACAGTCAGTTAGTCTGTGTCTTTTGAATGGGGAATTTAGTCCATTTACTTTTAGAGTAGTTATCGAGAAGTGTTGTTTAATTCCTGTCATTTAATCGCTACTTGTTTAGGTGGTTTATATATCTTTTGATCATTATTTCCCCTTTTATTTCTCTTCTTCAGTATGAGTTGGGAATTTAAGGTGGAATGATTTAGCTTCTTTCTCTTTCTTTCTTGCTGGAATTTTTGTTTTAAATGTGGGTTTTGCTCTTTCTTGTGTATTCGTGATGATGGTCACCATTATTCAGATTACAGATGAATGACTCCATTGAGAATTTCTTGCAGGGCTGGTCATGTAGTGGTAAGCTCCCACAATTTTTTTTTTTTTTTTTGTCTGGGAAATACACTATTTCTAACTTGTTTCTGAAGGAGAGCCTTGCTGGGTAAAGAATTCTTGGCTCACAGTTTTTTTTCTTTTAGTATTTTCAATATATCTTTCCACTATCTTCTGGCATGTAGGGTTTTTGTTGAGAAGTCTGCTGTTAGTTTGATGGGGGTTCCCCTATAAGTGACCTGACACTTTTGTCCTGCTGCTTGTAAAATTCTCTTTTTGTCTTTGAACTTTACAAATTTAACTATGATATGTCTTTGGGAGGATCTTTTTGGGTTGAATCTGTTTGGGGACCTTTGAGCTTCCTGGATCTTAAGGTCTGTATCTTGTCCTACATCTGGAAAGTTTTCTGTTGCTATTTCCTTTAGTAGGTTATCAATACCTTTTCCTTTCTCCTGGCCTTCAGGAATATCCACTATTTGGATGTTAGAGTGCCTGAGGTTGTCTGCTATCTCTCATAGGTTTTCCTCATTATTTTTAATTTTTTTCCTTTTTTTTTTTTTTGGTCTGCCTGAGTTATTTCAAAAAGACCATCTTCAAGCTCTGAAATTCTTTCTTCTGCTTGCTTTAACCTGGTGCTCAAGGTCTCAGTTGTGTTTTTTATTTCATTGAGTGTGTCTTTTATTTCTAGAAGTTCTGCTACACTCTTGTTTATGGTATTAATCTCTTCGTAGATTTCCTCCTTCATATTCTGGATGTCTTTTCTTCTTTCATTGTGTTCTCTAATTGAGTTTTCCTTTACTTCTTCAAGTTTTCTTAAGATCATTGCTTGAAATTCTTTTTCAGACATTTCAAGGATTCCCTATTCTATGGAGTCTGACTTTGGGGCATTACTGTATCCTTTCAGTGGCATCATTTCTGCTTGATTGTTTGTACTTCTAGTATTTTTTCACTGATGTTTGGTCATTTGGTAGGAGGTTTCCTTCTATTCCACTGAGGTTGGCTGTGGAGTGGCCCTGGTTGCTACTGTGTGGGGTGAATTGTCTTTGCTTGACAGTAGGTATGGTGGTGCTTATGTTAAACCTCCTTGGTTCCCGTTCAAGACTCTGTAGTTGTAGAATGAGCCCCCACCACTGTAGAGTTCTGCTGGACCAAACTCGGTGGGTCAGATACTTAGGCTGCTGCTCCCCCTGGGTCTGAGGTGGGGTGAGGGGCTGTGTCCAGCTGCACAGTTCCGCTGGCTGGTTTTGCTGCCTGCCACCACCAGCAGTCTCACCTGCATGGTGCTTGTTCAGGGCACAGGAGCAGGGCCTGGAGCTCCCCCTTGCCAGGGTCCGAGGCAGCGGGATGAAGAGGCCATGTGGAGCCACACAGTTTCACTGGCTGGTGCTTAGCTGGCTGGTGCAGCAGCCAGCCTATTTGTCAAAAATTAAATTCATTTTGACTCCATGTTTTTTTTTCCTGTGGCTGTTTCTAGTTCTGTGATGCTCTTATTCTATGTGCTTAATGATCATTAAGGTTTCGACCCTTGCTCTTTGGGAGAGAAATGGTCTGCTGTAGTATTATTACCTCTTTTGATAGTGATGTAGGGTTTTTTTCTTTTTTGTTTTTTTGTTTTTTTGTTTTTTTTTTTCCATACCTGGGAAACATCCTTTACATTTGATTTGGGAAATGAAAATAAACAGATACAGACATTAGAATGTTTAAAATCACTTTGTATGAATTAAGAAAGGCTAATCTTCAAAAATGCTCCAGTTTAGGATTAGGCCCCAAACTTCAAGATGCTCATTTGATTGTGGCATTTCTCAATTTGTTCAATATCATTAGGTGTGCTTAGTGGCTAACTCTAAAGTAGAAATCCAAACAGGTAATGAGCAGCATCCGATTTGCATGTAAGTCAACTGTTTCAAAGAAAAGATTAATTAAAATAAGTACTAGCTTAATTTAAATCAAGCAAGGCCAAGCCTCTATCCTGAGATTAAATCCCTCGCCCATTTCTGTCTTCCTAGATACAATATAGAAATCTGCATTTGAAAAATATCCCCACTTGAAAAATGAATTAAGAATTACTTTTAGAATTTTAAATCTTTCGCAGTAATAGATGCTCTTTACTGAAACAAGCTCATTCCATTCAGTGTATTTAATAGCAGCATTGATTTTACAGGTAAGGAGCTGGGGCAGGTGGGTGGAGGAAAGTGCATCCCATTACCTCCTCTCCTTTCACACCCATTCATATATTGCCCCTTTTCCCCATTTGTGTGTTCACAAGCACACAGATGATTGCAGTTGTGTAGCCAGGGTGATCCAGCAAGGATCCCGGATTTGCAGCACATTTCTGCAGTGACTGTGACAAACTTTGAAAAATAACATAGTTGACAGCTATATTTATCTACTAAATTTATCTTGAAGCAAAGTATAGCAGCGATGGAGAAGGTCCTTTTACTTTCCCTATCTAGAAAGTTACCTCTGCACTCAAGACAAAGTTTAATAAAGAGCCTTGTAGATACAAAAAATATATATTATTTATAGTATCCTTTTTGTTTTTCTTTTTTTCCCACAGAGACTGAAAGAATTAAAGCAACGAGAATTTGCTCGAAATGTAGCTTCCAAGTCATGGAAAGATGAGAAGAAACAAGAAAAAGCACTTAAACGACTTCATCAGCTAGCTAAATTGAGGCAACAGTCTGAATGGTAAGAATTAGAGTGTCTGGGATCGTTCAAAACTCTCTTCAACCTCCGGGACAATTTTAATGATAGATTTACTTGGTTCACTGCAACAATGTAAACAAATTATAATTAATCAACAGATATGACTGAGGGTAAATATTCCTTAATTGCCAAAGGTTTGTATATTAACTACTTTTGGCATCTGCTATTTTTCTCCCCAATATGTTAATTTACTGTTCTATTTAATAGAATGATCCAAGAGTGATTTTAATATACTCACATTTATTCTATCCAGTTGATTTAAATGGACCAATACAGTTTCTTACTAATTTATTTTACATTTTATAATGATAATTTAAAAACCCACAAATAACAGTGCATTTTTTGGAGGGGGAAATAAATCTTCTGTACATTCCCCTATACACACCTGAATCTGAATAAATGACATTATCATCATCTGGCTGACAAACAAGATGTAATTAATGCAGTTAAATTTACTACACAGGGCCATTTAAATTTATAATTATAACAAGCATTATACTAGTGCATTCTTGTAGCTGAAAAATAACAATTTTACAAAAGCTTGGAACCACTGAATGTTTTAAAGTTGTTACCTGGAATGCAATTAAATTTGTAGATTGTGATTTATGTTCGTATGAATTATAATGTAGAACATTAATGTAGCTAATTAGTGTAGTTGACAGCAACCTGGTGAATTGTGAAATTTAAGCTCTGTGCCAGAATTTAATCCCCTATTGTTTAAGTGGAAAAGAATATGCAATAAACAGGAGTGAGTGGCTCAATTATATTATCACAAAATATTAGAGTTCAAGTGGGATTCTAAGAAAATATTTTCTTTTTTAGGATCAATTATGCATAAAAATATAGTTGGCATTAAGCTTGAGTATATTCATGTATTTTCAACTCAAAATAATTTAATTAACTTTAATGAAAATACATAAAAATAATCATATTAAAAATAAATGACCAATTTAGTATGAAGAAAAAACAAAGGTACAACATATATCCAGGGGTGAGATTGATACAAAAATGCATGCTCTGAGGTCCCATACAATCAAATTAGCAGTACACACATTTGTACTGAGCCTTTTACCAGTGAACACAATGAAGAACTTACAATATGTTTTTCAAACATATTGTCAATAAGATGTCAGACAGTCTTTGTCAAAACATGACTTAGAAAGAAGAGTCCTATGGTTGTTAGGGCAGCATATAGGAAAAAATCTAGGGAAGATGTCAATTCCTAAGTGATTAATTATGAGATTCAATAAGTCAAACCATATAAAACAGGGCAAGCCCCACCATAGAGAGACATCCTTTAGGTATGTCTCTTAAGACCACAATAGCAAATCTGAGTAAACTTAACAAACATAAATTTTGGTTGTTTTGTTATTATGAAAGATGTCACACTTCTACATTTTTATTCAGACTTTCTATATTTTCCTCTGGGATAAATAACAAGGATCAGGGAACCCTTGATGATGAGAGTGGCGATGAAAATAATGATGATAAAGTTCTAAGTTTAGTAGAGCTACCCATTAAGGGCCCTCCAAATTAAAAGATTCACTCTATTAAGTGTCAGCTGTTCCTCTTGAAACCTTATTTACTAAACAAACACAACCTAACCACATCTGGGTTGTTGTCCTTTATAGAGCAGGCAGGCCCTCTAGGTCACAATGCACTCAAATTGTTAGGAAAAAGACAAGTGTTCAGCTTTCTAGATACAGAACTTGGAACTAGGAAAATTATTTCATTCTTTTCTACTACACACCACCGGCTCACTGGCCAATGGCTCTTTCTGTTTAAACAGCCTCATGACCTTAGGGAAGTCCCCTAACAGAATTAATAAATATTTGCTTTTTGGCAGCTGAATTGACAAATGAAAGCTAATTATCAGCATTACCTCTCTCCAGGACCTTTATTTGTCTTTTATCCTCATAATAAAGACTTCTGAGTAGGATGATCCAGATAGAAAGATTCTTCTATGACGCTGTGGAAAAGAGAGGTAAATTTACTTGTAGTGAGAATATTTGAATCAGACTGATGGACAAATTGTGGCAGAAAACTGGTAATGAGTCTTATAAAGGGCACTCAACTCTGGCCATCTCTTGGGTACTTCTACCCAACCTATTTCCTCAGCAGGTCCAGTTATTGCATGGGGGATATTCACTCTCTGTAGGTGAACTTCTAGTATGTATAAATCTAGGTATAGAACATCTTGATATGGAGATTTTCCCCAAATCTAAAAATTTTAGAGCAATTGCTTCTGAGAATATGAAGTTCTTGATATAAGAACTAGGTAATGTGGGACATTAGGAAATGACACCATTAAAACAAATCATGTTGCTTTTCATGTTTTATTTCCTGTTTGGAAAGTATACTTTTTGCACAGGAGAGAATTAAATTGGGCATTTGTTAAGTTACTGAGCATTAAAAATTTTGGAGAGCAATTGGAATGGACAAATCATTAATAAGAATTAAAGAAATAACTCTATATCCCTTTCTTACAAGCCATTATAAATAATAATTAGCTTTAAAAATACAAAAAGGTAAAGAGAGTTTTTAAAAAGGGAGTGAACTATTAAATAAAGAGATAACTATAAAAATTAAAGCTTTCAGAGAGTGGAAAGGTGGTTGCCAGTGACTAGAGAATAAAGAAAATAGGGAGCTGTTAGTTAAAATGCACAAACTTTCAGTTATAAGGTGAATAAGTCCTGGTGATTTAATGTAGAGCATGGTGACTATGGTTAATAATACTGTGTTGTTTACAGGAATTTGCTAAGAGATTGGATCTTACCTGTCTTTTACCACACACACACACACAAAATGCTAACTATGTGTAGTGTGATAAATGTGTCAATTAGTTTGCTGTAATCAATTCACAGTGTCCACATATATCAAATCATCACATTGTACACATTGAATATATATATTTTTATTTGTCAATTATTCCTCAATAAAGCTAGAAAAATTAAAGCTTTAATAATGTTATAAGGCATAAACCTACATTAAAAATTATAGAATTGGAAACTCCACAAAGGTAGAAAATTAGGATTTTCAAAAATAATAGAAATACATCAGATTTAAAATAAATGAAGATAAAGCTTATAAAGCAACAATATAAAAAGTCTGACACATGAAAATAAGAGGTATTAATTATTAACAATGAGGGTAAAATGTTAAAATTTTTAGAAGATCTATAATCATAAATGCAGGCTGGATTATAAAATGAGAATAAAACTTAAGAACAAGAAGTTAAGAGAAAATATAATACAAAAACAATAAAAGCAAAAAGATTTAAGAATATTTAATAGAATATAAACAGAAGAAGCTTGCACATTAGAGAGAGAAACAGTAAAATATGAGGAAGGCAATGAAGAAGAGAACATTCAGATTAACATAAATCAAAGCAAGAAAATGCATGAAACAGTGCCAAGATAATAAGCAAAAATGTTATTCAGGAAAGTATATATATAAAAGATAATAAAATATAGAAATACTAAAATATCTGAAGCATAATGAATCAAGAAGGAAAGAATTATAATATCCATACATCAGACTTTTGGAATAATTTCTGCTGAGTTTATAACACCAGATTGATCAAAGTTCCTGAAAAAGGTAATTTAGGTCAGAAGTACAGTTCCTAGTTAACCCAAACTGTGGCTATAAATGTGGAAAAAATCTTTTTGGCACCAAGGCCAAGTTCAATGCTGCAGCTGTTTCTGGACCTCATCCTTCTATCCCCAAGCTGCAGGCATTTCAAAAGGCCAATGGCATTTTAGTAAACCTCTGTGTTCCTTATTTTTCTCTATGCTTGAAAGAAATATTCAATAATTCATACACTACTTTAAAGAGTTCCTCGCTATTCCTAGTATTAAATAAGCCTAAAATCTCTCTCAAGAACATGAAAAGGTGACTCAAAAAAGGGAGATTACTGATTAATGCGATGAATAAGAAGAAGGTTTTCATTTCGAAACACTTACTGTACAGAACAGAATACAGTTTTAGAAAATTTCTAAATATAGTTTTCCACAAGATCCAAGGGAACACCATAACTCTAAAGCTTCCGCTGTTATTTCATGAAGAGGAGACAGTCTGAAATCATTTAAAACTAAATGGTAGCTAAAATGATTGTTTGTGACTTAAAATCCATATGGGCATAGTAGGCAACAGATTGGATATTGTAAAATATGGTGTCAGTAAAATAGAAATTAAATACAAGAAATTCCCCTGAACTAGAGCAAAAGACTAAAGACAGTAGACTGCTGAGATAAATAATAAGACTTAAAGGATATATTCAGGAGAGCAAATAATTGTAACATATAAATTCCAAGACAAGAAACTAGGAGAAGAAAGAAGAAATGACCAAAGAAATCAAAGAAGAAAATGTATCTGAGCTGGAGAAAGTTCAATTGAAAGTGCCCAAGAAGCACTAGCAAAACTTAACCAAAGTAAATCACCCTGTTGCTATGTTCCCGTAAAATGTTTTATGTGTATACACACACACACGCATACACACACACACACACATAAATATATGTGATATTTATATAATAAATATGTATAAATAAGAAGAAATATTACAAAATCATACAAATGCACAAGCAAATTCATTTGAAAAATAAATGGAGGCTAATTAAATATGTTTGCGATATTAAGCATATAAAGACAGTGAAGCAAAGTACATGAAATTTGGTTGACAAAAGGAATGTGAATCCAGAGTTCTATGCTGATGGGCCAAATAGTCATAAGTGAAGCCAACAACAAAGAATTTTTTAGACAAGGGCTCAGAAAGCACTTCTCTTCGTTAAAGTTTATGTTACATATGCAGAAGATATCGGTTGTTTTAGTATTTTATATTCAAGCAACAAATGATTAGATAAAGTGAAATAAAAATCCAAAAGAGAGAAAAGAAAACAAACACATCCAAGCATGTGGAAAAAGAAAAAGGAAAAGAAACATCAGTTCAAACAGTCAAGTAAATGTTATGATTGGGAATGCCTTCTCCCCAGTAAGGCCTTACATTGTAGTTTATAGGTAGAATGTCAAAGAGACAAATAATTTTAATCTAAATGCTTTAATCTCTCATATGTATTCGCATTTCCAGCTTTCTGTTTGAATTACTAATGAAGCTCAGTAGAACAAATACTTTTTAAAAATCTTTCAAAAATAAAACATATATATGCTCAAATGGTGAAAAAAATATTTTGGTGAGTAAGAAGTAAAAGAAAAGAGTTCAAAAATGATAAATGCATGATGAGGTGATCGATACATTAATTACCCTGATCCAATTATTATACAACATCTATATGTATCACAATATCAGATTGTACCCCGTAAGTATGTATGATTGCAATCTGTAAGTTAAAATTTAAAAAACAATAAGATTTCAAAATCGTTGATGATATTGAGATGGCTTGTAAATGTGTTACTTTATTATGCATTTATTATAATTAGTTAAATTACTGAGAAATCATAAAGGAAGAACTAACCACCTTGTTTCAAAAGGAAGCAAACATAAGAAATTTTGAAAACTGAGGAACCAAAAGTTATAAAATGCTAGAGTTTATACATAAAAGCAAATTTAAGAAATATTTTAATATTTTGGAAGGGATTTTTAATTTTCTTTAATTTTTTATTTAATGTGAATGCACCGATTAGAAAACTCTGTAAGATGTTAAACCTGTATTCCAAAGAATTGATAGGCTCTGGAGGACATATATTATAATGTAAATGAAATACTTTATATTCTTTTGCAATACTAGCATAAGATATTTACTTGCTATTGCTTTTTAGTAATTTGAAAATAATACACTTAAACCATGCATTTTAGAAATAGCTACTATAAAACCGTTATACTGAGTTGTATAAACACAATAAAATGTCTATATTACAGAAGATGTAGTTCATAAATAGAACTCATCATAGAAACACTATGAAATGTTCACATGTAGATATGATTCCAAACCTAATGTCTTAATCATTTTAAATATTTATTGTATTTACAGTGTTTCTGGAAATGGACCAGCATACAAAGCCCCCAGGATAGCCATAGAAAAACAACTCCAGCAAGGAATTTTCCCAGTTAAGAATGGCAGAAAGGTATCCTGCATGAAGAGTGCTCTTCTCCTTAAAGGAAAGAATCTCCCCAAAAGCATTTCTGATAAACAGAGGTCCACCATGCCAAATCGACACCAATTACAAGCGGACAGGCGTTACTTGTTTGGAAATCATATTTCACAAACATCTTCAGATCTCAGCAATGCAAATCACAGGACAGGAGTATCATTTTCTTTCTCCAAAAAAGTGCACCTAAAATTAGAATCTTCAGCATCAGTTTTCAGTGAGAACACAGAAGAAACCCATGATTGTAACAAGTCACCCCTCTATAAAACAAAACTAACTGGGGAGAAATGCAAGTGCTGCAGGTTTGCAAATAAGGATACACACCTCACTAAGGGAAAAGATGTAAACATCTCACCAAGCAGTCTGGAAAGTGTTCTACACAGTACTTTCTCCATCAGCTCTACAATTTTGCAAGACAAAAATGGCTCTATTGATGAGACACTAGAAGATTCAATTGGCATTCATTCTTCCTTCTCTAAACCTAGCATTCATCTTTCAGATATAGATTTTACTCCTTCCAGCAGAGAAAAAGGAACTAGAAATACATTGAAGAACACTTCAGAAAACCGCATTAATCACCCAAGCCCAGAAAATGCTTCCTCCAGCCCACCAAACATTTACAAGCACAGTGATGCCAGGATATTTCAGTGTCTGGAGGAGTTTTCATCACAGGAGCCAAGTGAACAAAAAAGTACAGTGCATTCGAATCCCAGTTTCAGAATGGAGGACAGAGGAAAATCTTTAGATGAAACAGAAAAAGTTAGCAAAAATGTGCAAAGACTTGTAAGTGAAGCATGTCCCCATGATAGGACATCCAGACCGTTGCCTTTTCTCCACGTACAAAGCAAGGATGGCCACACCACTCTGCAATGGCCTGCGGAACTTCTGCTGTTCACAAAAACAGAACCCTGTATCTCTTATGGCTGCAACCCGTTATATTTTGATTTTAAGCTTTCTCGGAACACAAAGGATGGCCATAAGGATGGTCGTAATCCAGAGGACTTCAAAACAGAGTTGAGTAAGGAACCTTTGGAAATGAAGACTAAAACAGAGAAACAAGTCTCAGGTTTAATCAAAGACCAACAAAAATTGATCCAAGAAGATAATCAGTCTCTGAAACCAAAGATGATGATAGCTAATCCAGAGTGGGAAATTTTCCAGAGAAAATGTAATTTGGGCCAGAATGATTCTGAGCCGAATAAGGGTGAACATAATTTTAGTGTAAGTGATTTGGAAATGAAAAATCCTGAAGTGCCTGCTTACCTTGATATGTCTCTAAAGGATTGTTTAGGAAAGAATAATAGAGATAACGAACTTACAGAACCTTCAAGGGCCCATTGGCAAAGCTGCCGAAGGATAGTTCTAAATGATGCAAATGAGGGCCTGACTTTTCCTCCCTGTATCTCTAGGACTAAAAAGCATAAGCTGATTTCCTATGATCCTCATTCAGAGTTTGAAGATGAAAACCAATTCACCTGGAATTCTAGTCCTTATGTAGTAGGGGGTCACAGTGTCCATGGGAAGGACTGCAGTGTGACTTTGAATAGTGATCACATCAGCATGACCAGCAGAGTTTCTGGATGTGAAAACAGAAGTTCTGAGAGACATTCTCTAAAGTCATCTCTGAATGGACATTCTAGCCCTTCGAGCAGCATGTCTAGCTTGAGAAGTACTTGTTCAAGTCATAGGTCCAATGGTAATGGCAGAGGTAATTTGCTCTGCCGTTGTAAGAAAGAACACAACTCAGTTGAAAGGCACAAACGGAAACGCAGAAAGCACAGCTGCCTGTACTTCTCTGGTGAGATAACAAAGAGCGAGTACCTGCAGTCTGAAACACAGAGAGATAGGAACTGCAAATTGTGGGAGTCATTTAAAAATGAAAAACACTCGAAACATAGATATTGTCACTGTGGAGAAAGATCTCAACTGGATAAAAATCAACAAAAATTTTCAGGGCCAAAATCCATGAAAATCACCCACTGTGATTCTAGCTCACAGGCTTCCTGTGGTGGAAATGGTGGAAAACCAACTAAATGCCAGGGACCTCAGCGCAGCAGATTGGGCTGTTACTCAAGAGAGAGAATCTGTAACTTAAATAAAAGCAAGAGAAGTCAAGAGTCTTTGGACAGCCCTCACATTTGTGATCCGGGAAAAGTCAAACCTGTGCAGCGTAACTCTGGGAATATCAGCTGCCTTCTAAGAAACTGTTCCAGTGGCCCTTTGGAAACCACAGAGCCCAACATTACAGGAGAGAAGACCACCCTAATGGCCAAAAGCCTTTTAGAAAGAGTACAAGCCAAGAAGTATCAGGACCAGTCCACTAATTTTGAGGTCTTTTCAAACAGTTGTAAAAATGAATTAGAGGCTCATTCACAAATGCAGTGCACAATTCAACTTGTACCACTGAGCTGTAGTAGACCAGCCTTGACTTTGTCTGACAAAATGCAGTTTACCAGTAAAAGAAGAAATGGTAAAGGCAGTGCGCTTCAAAGGACTACTGAGGAAAAGAAAATCAAAAGTTCACAGACAAATAATTTTACTGTTTTAGCAGACACTGATGGTGACAACCATCTCTCTAAAGGTATAATTCACATAGTACCAGAGCCTCAGTCACTAAACATAAAAAAGAACCCAACAACAGAAGAACAATCAAAACCTTTAATTAGTGAAGTCCAACCTTATATTCAAAGCTGTGATCCAGTACCAAATGATTTCCCTGGTGCTTTTCCATCTAACAGATGTACAGGTATTACTGATTCAACAAAGACCAAAGAGGACCAAATAAACTTAGACTTACAGGATGTAAGCATGCATATGAATCATGTAGAGGGGAATATAAACTCTTACTATGACAGAACTATGCAGAAGCATGATGAAGTGAACAATGAATTAGAAGTGTGTCATAAACCTATCTCCCCCCCTTTAATTCAACAGCCCATAACATTTTCTCCTGATGAAATAGATAAATATAAGCTCCTACAGCTACAAGCCCAGCAGCATGTGCAGAAACAGCTCCTATCAAAGCATCTTCGAGTTTTGCCTGCTGCAGGGCCACCTGCCTTCTCCCCAGCCTCTGCTGTACAGACAGTTCCAGTTCACCAGCATGCTTCTATAACCACCATCCACCACACATTCCTGCAGCATTTTGCTGTTTCTGCTTCCATAAGTTCCCACACCAGTCACCTCCCCATGGCTCATCTACATCCTCTTTCACAGACACATTTTTCTCCTATCTCATTTTCAACTCTGACTCCAACTATTATCCCAGCACACCCCACTTTCCTAGCAGGTCATCCCCTGCATTTAGTCACTGCTGCTCCCTTCCACCCATCTCACATAACACTTCAGCCCCTGCCCCCTGCAGCATTTATCCCCACATTGTTTGGCCCTCACTTAAATCCAGCCACAGCGTCTATCATCCACTTGAATCCTTTAGTCCAACCAGTGTTCCAAGGTCAAGATCTTTACCATCATTCTTGCTCCGGCCAGATGCAACAGGTAAATGGAGTGAAAGAGGCCTTAAGCATGTCGGCACACTTGAACTAATAGGTGTTAAAGCCCTTCCTTCCAATTTGTAAGTAAAACAAATTGTCACTACCTACAAAATAATGTATTAAAGATGTCTATTTGATTATAAGATTTAAAATATTGGTGCCAATTCAAAATGTGACCAATATATAAATATGAACTGAATTGCCAATATTAGAACATTTAAAGAATTTCTTTTAACTTGCAAAATAATAGGGCAAATTTAAAATAATTTTATAGAAGGGTAGAGGAAAAAGGGTCAAAGATTTGTTTTGGATGAGTTCTCATATAATATTATAAAATGATAACAGAAAACATTTAGGCAGAGCATTAGCGTTACAGAGAATATTCAAATGAAATATAATACCTTATGTTCTAGGTGTTTGTTAAGTGAATGAATGAATGAATGAATGAATGAATGAATGAATGAATGTTCATTTGGTTTTATTTGTGAGATAATAATAAAAGATCAGTGAAATGAACAAGTTATTAAAAATAGTTCCTATGGTTAACTATTGACAAGACTTTAAATCAATGTCATCTGTTACTATATTTTCCTAGGAAATAAGAGATGTCAAGAAATTTTCTGATTAATTCAGTTTGAAAACTACTCTTCAATGAAAAACAATCTTTACACAGATTGTATTGCTGAGTTTCTGTGAAAAATAGGTTAACTTAACACAAATTTATGTCAAGGTAATTCTGTAACTGTAAGAATCAGCAACATCTAAAATTAAGAATGTTTAATTTTTGTATAAGAAAACATAAACTATCATTAGTATTTGATAATACAAAATAAAAAATAAAATATACTCAGAATAACATTTTGAATATATTCATCAATCTTTCAAATATTGCAGGGACTAAAATGTTTTCTTTATTCTTCTACTTAGGAATCGTACTGTGCCCATTCAATATATGTATAAGTGCAGAGGTAAAAGGTTTGGAAATGTCAGTATTTTTACATGTTAATTAAGAAAATCTTAAAGTATTTGGTGTATTTTATTCAGTTGTAGGAGATATTTATAAAATACAGTGAATGTTGATGAATAAAATCACCATTCATGTAATTTTACAAATGATTTTAAACATTCATTCACAATGTTTTCTGGCCCACAGAACTTGCATTTCTTACATTTATATTTGTAAATGGTTCTCCAGTCAGGTTTAGTATTTTATATTTTAAAATGAAAAGAAATACACTTATGTGACAGCACATTCCCGAAAAGCATGGAGAAAATTGAACCAACCGGAAATGGAGGTTATCAGTGCTCCAGTGCTGTGCATATGAGGATGTCAACTCCTCTACCACTAGAAGATGAGAGGGCGTATTCTTCAGCTTTGGCTTCACGGGGAAGATAGCTACATTTACTGAAAGTTTGTTGTGTTTCAAGTAGAGACAGGCTAAACCCTTGGTCCACGTTATCTCATTTAATTTTCAAAACCGTATTTAGAGATTGATATTATCATGCCTTAGTACAGATGAGGAAAATGAAGTTGAAAGGTTAAATGCTTCATACTTGGTAAACAGCAGAAAAGGATATGTTTGATGCAAGAGAAACAGAAAGAGGGAAGGGGGAGAGAGAAACAGAGAGAGAGAAAGAATAAAAGAAGATGAAGGTGAATTTGAAATTTTAATATAAAGAAAAAATGTAGTATTAAAGATATCAGCAGAAACTTGTGGAATGAGAGTTTTGACTAGATTATAGCAGTGACAGGGCCGACCCCATGGCTCACTCGGGAGAGTGCGGTGCTGGGAGCAGTGACAAAGTCTAGCTTATTTAAAAGGAATAAATTAAGATGAAAACATCAAATAGCACGAAACTCTATATCTTCATGGAACTCTATTAAAGTGGTTATGAAAGACCATTGATGAACATTGGATGTATCCAAAAAGAAGTGAAATAAATGGCATGTTTATTATAAAAAAGATGAAAAATGGCCCAGCAGACTAAAAAAAAGTAATGAGGATAATTATTTCCTAAAGCAGATTACAAAGCTGATACAGAGCCAAGATAGAGTAACCATGGGAACTCACTAGATGAAGAACTCACCATTATGAAGAAGACAGAACACCTGATTAATGTTCATAATTGTCTTGGTGACAATTTAATCTCTCAGAAGGTTGAACCAGAGAACCTCTATTAATTTTGACCAACTAAGATAGATTTCTATTTATTGATGGCATGGAAGTGACTATGCAGTCTTGTATTAGCAATGATGAAAGTGTTCCCTGAATATACTATCTTGGACTATGGGAAAGAAGACTTTACCATTTAAGTAAAAGATAACCTGTACTCCAGGGTGAGAGATTGCGAAAGTTATGAAATCACATAAAGAAAAGTGCAACTATAAATATTCTCCAAATCAGTAAGTGTAGGCTCAAACACTGGATTTCACTTTTTATTTTACCTTAAAAGAAGCACACTCTGGAAAATAAACAAAACAGAAAAAAATCCAAATATATATTGAATTCTAAAATAGATGCAGTTTTTAAAATTTTGCTACTGTGATGGATTATATTTTAGCATTGTCTCCTTCTATTAACAGTTGATTTCTAGCACTAAGTTTCTTTTATGTCTGTTGTCTGGTATTTATGGGGTAATTCTTTTTATGGAATTACTCTTGCATACTTGGCTCATGGAGACAAGTTTTGTATCTGTCTTAAACTATATATGCTTAACTAAACTGAAAATGTTTTCAGAACAGCTGTGAAATCTTTACGCACACACATGTACACATACACACGTGTGTGCACAAACACATACACCTACCTACCTATTTATATATCATCCTTAGAGATTAAGAACCAGTCCACCATCAGATAGCCTCACTAGATTTAGGTATGGTTAAACAAAATAAATGCTTTCAATGAAGAACTGAGAATTTGGGAAAATTCATCTTCTTAATCATTCCCTGCCAAATTCAACAAGAAAAAATACAATGGGACTATAAAAACTGTATTTCAACATTCTCTTTACATTTGCCTTTACAAATGTTATAAATGTAATAAAATATAGGAAATACTTAGAATACAAAGAACAATTTAGAAAGCTCCCAATTCCCAAGGTTCTATCCTTAGGTAGACATTTACAGAATGATATGTAATTTCAGTTTCACTTATAGAAAACAGATTCAGCAGTGACTCCATTTTTCATCAGTTTCTGCCAGGACTTAATGGAATTTCTCTGTTATCTTTGAACAGAAATATACTCAAAAAAACTCATCCTATAAAACTTGCCCATTAAGTGGAATATTTAATCAGTAAAATTACTCAGGTTCCTGTTGCCAGAGATCAGATTATCTTCTTAGTACATGAAGTTCTTGCTTACTAATACAGTTCCCATTAAGGGCAGCAACACAGCTTTCTGAATTTTACTATAATACCTTCAAGGTAATCCACAAACATTATGCATTTCAGGAATTTTAAATAATAATCAGAGATATGAAGATGACTCTGCCCTTTAGGATATCACTTTGTATCCCTGTGTTCTAGATGTATATGAATGAAGCTTCCAGATGCCCTACCCAGGATGTATGGATAGTTGACTATCTCCTTATTGGTGAAATAACATTGACTAAAATCAACTAAAAGTGGGGAAGTGTCTACCAAAAATAGTAACTTTAGCTTTAGGATAGTTGGTGTTTAGAATAGCCTTTCTGGCAACAGCTAATTAGCAAGGTTGCTTGTCCTTTCGAGTTGACAAACTTGCATCATATATGGTGAAGGAAGGCCTGTCTGTATTTTTTGTTTTAGAGTGGTGTGTGCCCAGTTCATCTAAAAGTGGTATCAGTTGTTAGATCATTAGAAATAAGTTAGAAAGGGCCGGCCCATGGCTCACTCGGTAGAGTGCGGTGCTGATAACACCAAGGCTACGGGTTCGGATCCTATATAGGGATGGCCGGTTTGCTCACTGGCTGAGCGTGGTGCTGACAACACCAAGCCAAGGGTTGAGATCCCCTTACCGGTCATCTTTTAAAAAAAAAAATAACATTGCCGATCATCTCAAACCTGTAGCACATATCTTTCCTAAAAGATTCCCCATGAGTTTTCAGAAAAGTGGTTAAACATTCTGAAAACATATGTGTAAATATCATATCCAGTTTTCTAAAACTACAATTTGAGGGACTCAAATCTCGCACATCAGTGTATGTAGCTAACATACTTTGGGACAGAATTGACTTAGAGCCTATCTCTAGCCCAGCAGAGCTCACAAAAGGGTTTAATTTTGGTTCTTTAAATTAGATGAACTCCTGAAGAGAAATGTGCTCTCACTGGCAAATAGAAACATTATTAAAAAGCAAGCAGGTGACCAGTTCCACACAGTAGTCAGGAAAACAGATGGCTGCCCTTAGTATCTCAAACTGAAACCACTTCAATAAGATGATAGTTTCCTACTAAAATATGAGTTTTCCTGCCAATAAGCCTGGGTCTAGAGGATTTTTGAAGGTTATCATTTCATTCCAGAATAAAATATTATCCACTTCTTCTATTAGGCAGACATATGGAGGTGATTGTTGTATCTTAGGATTAAACTATATTAAAATGGAAGCAGTGGCTGAATGGGTTAGCTTTAGAATAAACCAGTACTGGAGAGATAAGCCAAAGGGTCTTTTTCATTCTATGCAGCTTCGTGTAGGAGGGAGAGCTCCCGATCCACATTCTTAATTCCTTTCTCAAAGTTACTTCCTCCTTCTGCAGCCCACCATCTTTCTTAAATAGCAAGAGCAAGAGTATCCTGTCAGAAACATGAAATAGGGCAAATTGGAAAAATTAAAATACGTATGAGTGTACATGTGTGTATCTGTGCATATGTTATTATTAAATATACTGTTTAGTCTTTACTTGTAGACTTTGATCTTTGTTCAAAAGTGTTTTTCAAAACATATTTACATTTTAAAACAATCAGCTTCAAGAGAAGGTTTCTGATCCACCATGCTAAATTGTCAGTTCCTTCAACATGAGAGATTATAAAATAGTTGATAATGTAAATCGGTTGTGTAGCTGTTTAAAGCAAAATCCCACTTTACTCGATTC